CACATTCCTTGCATTCGTAAGGTTTCTCTCCAGTATGAATATACTGATGTTTTGTAAGTCTCTTCTTCTGATTGAAGGCTTTCCCACATTCACTACATTCATAAGGTTTCTCTCCAGTATGAATATTCTGATGTTCAGTAAGTGTATTCTTTTGATTGAAAGCCTTCCCACATTCACTACATTCATAAGGTTTCTCTCCAGTATGAATATTCTGATGTTCAGTAAGTGTATTCTTTTGATTGAAAGCCTTCCCACATTCACTACATTCATAAGGTTTCTCTCCAGTATGAATATTTTGATGTTCAGTAAGTGTTCTTTTCTGATTGAAGGCCTTCCCACATTCAGTACATTTATAAGGTTTCTCTCCAGTATGAATATTTTGATGTTCAGTAAGTGTTCTTTTCTGATTGAAGGCCTTCCCACATTCAGTACATTTATAAGGTTTCTCTCCAGTATGAATTTTCTGATGTCTTGTAAGTCCTGTCTTCTGACTGAAGGCTTTCCCACATTCATTACATTTGTAAGGTTTCTCTCCAGTATGAATTTTCTGATGTCTTGTAAGTCCTGTCTTCTGACTGAAGGCTTTACCACAATTCTTACATTCATAAGGTTTTTCTCCAGTATGAATATTCTGATGGCAGGTAAGTCCTATTTTCTGACTGAAGGCTTTCCCACATTCATTACATTTGTAAGGTTTCTCTCCAGTATGAATTTTTTGATGTTGAGTAAGGATTGTCCGCCTAGTGAAGGCTTTCCCACATTCATTACACTGATAAGGTTTCTCTCCAGTGTGACTTTTCTGATGGTCAGTAAGAACAGATTTCCTGCTGAAAGCCTTACCACACTTATTACATTCATATGGTTTCTCTCCAGTATGAATTTTCTCATGACAGGTAAGTCCTGCCTTGTGACTGAAGGCCTTGCCACATTCATTACATTGATATGGTTTCTCTCCAGAATGAATTTTCTGATGACTCCTAAGTCCTATCTTCTTATGGAAGACTTTCCCACATTCATGACATTCAAAAAGCTTCTCCCCAGTATGAATTCTCAGATGGTAGACGAGTCCTAACTTTTGACTAAAGTTCTTTCCACATTCATTACATTTATGAGTGTTCTTCCCAGTATGAATGTTCTGATGTCCATTCAGTCCTGCCTTCTGACTGAAGGCTTTCCCACATTCATTGCATTCATATGGTTTCTTGACCTTATGAATATTCTGGTTGTCATCAAACGTTCTCTTCAGCCTGAAGGCCTTTTCACATTCATTACTTTCATAAGCTTTTTCTCCAGTATGAATTCTATCATGGATAGTAATGTCAGCTTTCTGTGAGTAGGCCTTTTTATACTCATTACATGCATAAGGTTTTTCTCTAGCATGAATTCTCTGATGTTGTAGAAGTCCTGTTTTCTGACTAAAAGCTTGTCTACATTTGTCACATTCATAATATTTTTCTACAACATGAATTCTCTGATTCTGACAAATGTTTATGCCACTTGACAAAATCTGATCACATTGATTCCCTAAATGTGCTCTTTCTCCATTATGTTGATTGTGTTTTTCACTAAGGTCTGAGTCATAACGACAAAATTTTTCACCTTCATTGTACCTAGAAAACATCTTCTTTACGGAAATTCTCTTCTGTTTATTCAGATATGAATGCAATCTGACTCTCCTTTGTTCTGTAACACACGGATGAAGAAGATTCCTTCCAAGAGACATCTTACACTGCGGGAAAAGGATTGCTCCTTGGCAGAAGCTTCCATTGCGTTTTTTATATGCATGTTCTCTAACTTGATTGGGAGCCTTCATTTCAAATATTTGCATATGTCCAAAAACTTCCTCTTCACTGCTCTGCTGTTTTTCTAATAAAGAACAACATTCCCTGGCTTTGCCAAACTTGGAGACATGGAGACTACCCACGTGAACTCTTTCTTGGAATGGTTCTTCCATGAAGAAGTCACTTGTTGCAGGGGATTCCCTGGTTTCCGGACTACTGTTCCAATCTGAAAGACATTTGCCAATCAAGGAAAACATCAATGAGAACAATCTTAATTAATGGGAAGTTGAACAAAAACAAAGGAATCAAAATGGAGGTTGGGAAATTACCATAACTAAGTTGGGTTCCAAAAACAAACAAGAATTAGGAGTCAGAACACCTGAGTGCAACACCTGCCTCAGTCCTATGGGGCAGGTCACTTTGAATTGGTGTCAGACTTTCTAACCTCAATTTTCTCATCTGTACAATGACAGGCTTAGATGACCTTAAGGGCCCATTTCACCTCGAATCTTGGATCTAGTGACATTCTTTCATTCCAGAGGTGGGGAACTACAGGTGTGGAATGTGTTGATCGGCTTGGCTGAATTATTTATTTTCATTAGTTAGTATTCACAAAACAACAGAGAAACAAGCAATGCTCATGAGAG